GACGAAATGAAGGTTTCGGGGATCGAGAAGTTCGATGACACGGATTTTGGATATTGGAGGATGCAGATAGAGCATTACCTCTATGGGAAGAAACTTCATCTTCCACTACTGGGAAAACGACCGGAGAAGATGGAAGAGGCTGATTGGAATCTGTTGGATCAACGGGTTCTGGGGGTTATTGCAATATCATAAAAGAAAGGACGACGACAAATCTTACGACGGTCTTATCAGGTATGTATGAAAAGTCATCGACGAATAACAAAGTGTACTTGATGAAAAAGTTATTCAATCTGAAGATGGCGGAATGTGTGTCTGTTGTTCAACATCTGAACGATTTTTAACACCATCACAAATCAATTGTCGTCCGTTGAAATTGATTTTGACAATGAGATACGTGCACTGATATTGTTGGTTTCATTGCCAAATAGCTGGAAAGCCATGATGATGGCAATTAGCAGTTCTGCGGATAAATCCAAGCTAAAATATGATGATATTTTTGATTTGATTTTGGCTGAAGAGGTGTGCATGAAGAATTCTGGCGAGACCTCGTGTTCAAGTTCGACACTGAATGTTGATTCCAGATGGAGATGACATGACAGGAACTTAAACAGAGGATGATTAAAATCAAAATCTGATCAGCAGGCAACATGATGAAATTGTGACAAGGCTGACCACATAAAAAGGAACTGCAGGAATCCTAAGAAAAATGAGAATGTGGTATTAATGTTGTAACTAAATAAATACATGATGCATTATTATTGGCAGTTCACAGTTCTGTTGATGACTAGATACTAGATTCAGAGGCTTCCTTCCATACATCTTCCCGCCGGGAGTTAATGTGAAATTATGTTGCAGGTAACTTTGAGAAGGTACATATGGCTGATGGAAAAGCTCTGGACGTGGTGGGGATGGGAGACGTTGATATTGCACTCCCTAACAAAAGCAAATGGACTTTGCAAAAGGTCAGACACGTTCCTGAGTTGAAGAAAAACCTCATCTCTGTTGGGCAGCTCAAT